ACTTGTGGCACCTTAGAGACTAACAAATTTGTTAGTCTCTAAGGTGCCACAAGTACTCCTGTTCTTCTTTTTGCGGCTACTTTTAAATCTGTTATTGAGTATCCGGGGAGATTGAAGTGCTCTCCTACTGTCTTTTGTATGTTACCATTCCTGATGTCTGATTTGTATCCATTTATCCTTTTTACGTAGAGCCTCTGATGGTATGGCTGGTGTGGTTGGGTCCTATGATGGTGTTGCTAGAGTAGATATGGGGACAGAGAAGGCAACACGGTTTGTTACGGGGATTGGTTCCTGGGTTAAGTGTTTCTGTGGTGTGGGATGTAGTTGCTGGTGAGTATTTGCTTCAGGTTTTCGGGTGGTCTGTAAGCGAGGATTGGCCTGCCTGTGAGAATGGGGGATTGTTTTCCAGGATAGGTTGTAGAGGTTTTTGCTGGGGGCTGTATGTGATGGCCAGTGGAGTCCCTGTAACAAACCCCATTGCCTCCTCTGTCCCCATATCTACTCCAGCGACATCATCATAGGACCCAGCCACACCATCAGAGGCTCATTCACCTGCACATCTACTAATGTGATATACGCCATCATGTGCCAGCAATGCCCCTCTGCCATGTACATTGGCCAAACCAGACAGTCTCTATGTAAAAGGATAAATGGACACAAATCAGACATCAGGAATGATAACATACAAAAGCCAGTAGGAGAACATTCAATCTCCCTGGACACTCAATAACAGATTTAAAAATAGCTGTTCTTCAACAACAACAACAAAAAAACTTGAAAAACAGACTTAAAAGTTTTTAAGGTGCCACTGGACTCCTCGTTATTCTAGAATGATTACTCCACTCCTTTGGAGTAATTGTTCAGGAATAAAGTCACATTTATTCTGGAATAGAGTGGCCATACAATACAGGGGAGTTATACCAGAGTAGCTTCAGCTCAATAGTTATTCTGCTATTGATATGCTGTCAGTTTCCCCCTGTAGACAAGACATTAGTCCAGCAACAGGACCCAGAGGAGGAGCTGCCAATGGTAGAGTGTTTCCTGGGTTGGCCCACAGACAATTCTTCAGAATTATAGTGTCTATTTGTTATACTTTTGTCTAAGATTGCCACTGGTGACAGGCAAGACATTGACTGGCATGTGTGTGTATATGTGTCAAACTCCTAGCTGAAATTCCTTATATACCATACAGTAGGGTGTCTGCAGGACATAAAAAATTATAGGATCTGATTCTGTTCTTGTGTAAAACCAGTATAAATCAGGAGTAATTCCAGTGACATTACGCATGTAAAACTGGTTTAGTTAGATTCAGATCAGAAGCAGGCCAAAAAAGTCTTATCAGTGTTAAAAATTACCCACTGTTGCTAATAGTGGTTCAGATTCATTGGTGTTAGTAATGTTGAGAACCCTACTGTAGAAGGGCCACCAGCACCCTCTGCCTTTTTAATCAGTGGGTCAGCTTGATTTGCTCTTCTGAGTAGGATTAGATGATATGGTGATTAAAATGCCAATGGCAGCTGGTGGACCATCTATACCCCACAGGTCCCAGCACCTGGATTCATATAAGTAAGCGAGAATCTCAACTTTCTTTCTTTCTTATAAACTGCTAGCTCACATGGTTGTAGAGAAAAGCACAAAATAAAAGAATCTAGAAGTTAGAAATTTCAGGATGTTTAAGTTAAACTTATAATTTTTTGGGTGTGCAGTTTGTGATTTTTGAACATTTTGAGGCTGGCAATACTTTACCAGTTATGCGCACTTGTAATTTCACTGACATCAGTTGGATCACTCCTGAATTAGGCCCTGATATTGCAAGATATATATGAGTAACTGTATACACAAGATAATTCCCACTGAATAAATAGGACTACTCACGTGCAAAAGTGTAGGCAGGGCCATTGAGTCTTAATGTGACTGTTGCTTTCCTGGAATCCAGCTTCTTTGAAATGTTTTCTTTCAAAGACTATAGGACTTGTACATCTGTAACAAAACAGTATATATATTTTTTGTTTTTGTTTTGTTAAGTCATCAAGCACTAATGATGGGTTTCTAAAAGAAAAACGTGCTCAAATCATGTCTCGAGGACTTCCAAAACAAAAGCCAATAGAAGGAGTTAAGCAGGTACTGGTTTTTGCTTCTGGGAAAGGGGGAGTTGGAAAGTCAACAACAGCAGGTAAGTTTTTGTGTCTGCTCTGTCATCCATTTTTATTATTGTGCTGGTATTTATTTCTGTTTTATAACATGCATAAGAGCTTGGTATATTTATACAAATACATTAATAAACAAAAAAATTACACAGGCAGTAAATAGCAAAATAAAAACATGCATATTTATCTTTATTAAAGATCTGCAGTACAGCAATATTAGTAAAAACTAAAAGCATTTAAAAAATCTACTTTACTTTTCAGCTCTTAGGCAATTTTTTGAATTTAATTCAGTCTGAAACTGTGAAACCATACAAGTCAGTTTCACTTCTATGTAGTCTGCAAGAGTTTAAAAGGATACTGTCCGTTTGAATGTTTTTCATCTATAATTGTGCAAATAACACCTAAGATTATTTTAACAGTATTGCAGGGGGCAGAGGAGAAAGCGTCTGTCTGTCTTTCTGCATTTGACAATCACAACACTTCGTGTAAGAGTCAGTTTCACTGTGTACCTTGTAGACTTCATATGCCTTGATCCTATAGTCGAGTCATTTTGGATAGGCCCTTATACCTCTGCAGGGTCTCCCTGTGATCAAAGTAGCTCCACATGGCTGCAGAGGTCTGCCTATAAATACACCATACTGCAGGATCAGGATCTAAGTTAGACCTCCATTGTGCAAGCTGCTCAGTGCAAGTGGACTTCTGACACACGTGGAGACTCATTTTCTTCAGTGGGAGTCAGGGATCTGCCCATGTAGGGAAGCTGGCAGGATAAGGACCTTTTGTCCATTTTCTCAGTTGTTTGTGTAAACATTACCCAAGGAAAAACAAAACCACAAAAATTGGTAGAGGGCCTCACAAGTGTATACAGTACCTGAAATGGCTTTGACTCCTTTTTTTTCCCATCTAACTTGATTTCAAACTAATGATTAACATTTAACTGTGATTCCTAGGCAATAGAACTATGATGTTACATTTGGGTTGATAACACTGCAGAGGTTTGTTTAATATTACTAATAAAAAAGTCTTGCTGACATTAAAGTTACTTGGGAAATATTTCTCTTTATATTAGCCTTTGTAAATACATTTAAAAATCTCTCTTCCAGAATCCATATTAAGAGGGTAATATCCCTGTAACTGAATGTTGCCTATTTTTTTTTAATATATATTTCTTGATGAAATCCTCAGATTTTTTGTTCAAAGTCTATATTCTAAATAAGATGGTCATAGCTCTACATACATATATAGTTCATTTTCTGGGTTGCCAGGCACGGAAAGGACAGGCTGTTAAATTAAAGAAACAAAAACAAAACACAGACATGTTTAATTTGGAATTGCCATAGTGATTGTAAACTGAAGTACGGATTGAGTGAATTTCCTTATTTTAGATTTCACCTCTCTACAGACACATCATGAAGAATAATCAATTTGTGCATTTCTTTACAATGTGCTTGCTGGCTGGTGATTGTAATTCACTGTTCTTAGTTAGGTTGGTGATAGTCTGGTTTGTAAAGTTGACTTTCCAACAATAAAAACAACTTACTCCTTTATGTCCACAAATGAACAAGCTGAATCCAGGGCTACTTATTGGTGTCTAGATTAAGTTAACTAAATTCTATTTTTTTTAAATATGGGCAGAGATTCCAGTTCTTTGACCATATAAATGGACTGCACTCTCAGACTACATAACAAAGTAATAAATATCGAAGATGTAGCTTAAATCTAAATTCACTGTCAAGGATTGGTGTTTTGGAGCTATAGTCTCCTTTCAATGGGTATTGCATATGTGTACTGAGAAGATAAAGCAGTCTCTGGGTGCTCATTTGTCAAAATGAGAATAAATTTCAGTGTTAAGATGAATATCTAAAGGTCAGATAATTGCAGAATTTTTATTCAGCCCATTACATCGCTGCTGAAATCTGGGATTAACTTGCCTTTAAAGTTGTGTACCCTGTCCTTTTTGTTAAAGGACGCTTGGGTAGATATTTCTACAGATGTATGTGACTGCTTTGCAGACCTCAGCATCCCATCCTATATCTCTGAGCCTCTGTTTACCTCATTTTTCATTGCTTAAGTATTCTTACATTCCGGCCTCAACCACCCCTCCATTTTAGGACAACTGGATGTGAGTCCCAGGGAAAGCCTATCCAAGGCCATTTCTTAATCAGCCATTGTGTTTATTGTTGAATGATGTTTCTCTCTTTTTCTCCCATTGCCCTATAACTTTTCTACTTTTACAAGAAGCTAAATCAACTTCCCAGTTTCTTCTGTCACTTTCACACACCTGATCTGGATCTTCTGGAAACAGCAGTTCCTAACAATGACTGAGAGGAGGTGCTATTTTGTGTGAAAAAGCTTTTCTTCCTCTTTTTTTATCCTTTTGGTGTTTCTCCTCTCCTGTACTATTTTCCATTCATCTATTATGTGGTTTATTTTTATTCCTTCCTACCTCTCTCTTCATGCCTCCATTCCACTTCCATTCCAGTTTTCCCTCTTGCCAGACTTTCTTCATGCAAAGATCTTAGCTCTGTTTTTGTAATTTATTTAAACTTTTCCTTGCCCTGCCAACCTTGCAACAAATCTATCTCGTCCTTCTTGTTACTAAAAAGACTGGAGCTGCTTTAGAGAATTGAACTTGGGTTTGTGGCCCTTTTTAAAAAAAAAAATTTTTTTTTAATAATGTATAAAGAAGGCCTAAAGAAGTTTTAATTTAAATTTTTTTTTTAATGCTTGTTTTTAACTTGGAACTATCAGGAAGGTCAAGTCATCTTCTGGTTTTGTTGAAGGACTTCTTGAGGGTCTTGTACCTTAGTTGAAGGTGTTGCGTTGTTGAATCTTTCATAAAAACATCCTTTCTTTCCAAGTACTAGAGTTAAATAAAGGTTGACACAAACAAACAAAAATATAAAAACTGTAAACCATCTGACTAAAAGTCCTTCTCAATTGCTCAGTGTTCAGTCTCTTGTCAAATTTCACAAGTTCTTAAGTTGCTTCCACACTAGAGTTGGGTGGACAATGGTTTTCCCATCCTGTGAAAATTTTTCACTGGTTCAAAAATGTTCCTGTTCTGCATTGTGGCGAACGTGAGACCTTTTGAAATAAGTAAGAGAGTGAGACAGACAGACCTACCCAACAGAGAACAGCAAATAGCCTGGCTATTAGGATGATTCAGATCACCGATTTGAACCTAGGTCTCCATATCCTAGATGAAAGCCCTAGCCACCATGCTGATGTGCTAATGTCTCTGTTTCTCTCTGGTTTTGGCCAGAAATTCCAAACTGGACCTGAGAAACCTTTCTTGAGTAAATTTTGTCAAAACTGGAATGTTCCTGCAAAAGTTCGTTTTGATGAATCTGCTTTTATTGTCTCCCCCATTGTTGAAAATTTCCCAAACAGCACTGCTACAGATGCTTCCAGGGTAGATAAGATTTGAAATTTAAAGTAACAATCAAGCAAAAACCTGGTTTTGTTCCTGTAACAGAAAATGTCAACATCTCTTTTTTTTATGTTTTTTGTTTTATTTTTTTTTAAATAATCATATGCAAACAAAAAATGGCACAAGCCTGTTTTTAACGGTGCAGGTCACTGGTCACTAAATTTAAAAGGGTTAGTGGAGAGCATGGTAAGTAAATCTATATGTATTTTTTTTTTTTTTAAGTACAACCTGTTACGCCTTTAAAAAATCAAATTGGTATTAAATTCTCTAACAGAAATCATACAGATTTTTCTCAAGCTTTTCTTTTGGTAGAGTACATTTTGAAAAACCTTTTTTTTATTTTGCACGGTCTCTTAGAAATTAAAGGCTTGCCTTCTTGCATTATTAATTCAAGCTATGACTCGAGTTTTGCCCCTAATCTGATTCCATTCACCCACAAATCCCTAGTTTGAGTTAAGTGGTGCTTTAAGATAAAACTAGTTAGCCCTTTAGGGAGTGTGGGGGTGTTGAAGCTCAAGTGCTGCTAATGCTGGAACTGATCATGCAATGGGGATGCAGCATCTTGAGTTACAACAACATGCATCTGACGACGTGGGCATTCACCCACGAAAGCTTATGCTCCAATACATCTGTTAGTCTTAAAGGTGCCACAGGACTCTCTGTTGCTTTTAACAACTCATCAGATGCTAATGCAGTCACTATGTGCTGCTGATAAAATCACTGTATAGCTCCTGTGTTGTTTTGCGGTGTGGTCATTCTACTCTCACTGGAGCTAGGTGGTTAACTCAAGTGTACTGACTTGAGCTAAGGGCTTGTCTACACTGGCACTTTACAGTGCTGCAACTTTCTCGCTCAGGGGTGTGAAAAAACAACCCCCTGAGCGCTGCACGTTTCAGCGCTATAAAGTGCCAGTGTAGACAGTGCACCAGCGCTAGTAGCCATTCCCCTCGTGAAGGTGGATTTTTTTTTCTTTTTTTCCCCCCCTATGCCGCGACTACACAGCCATGTTAAAGCACTGGCCGTGGTCAGTGCTTTAACATTGCCAGTGAAGTAATGCCCAAACTATTGCAGTGAAGACAAGCCTTAAGAACTAAACCGGCAATTATAATCACATGTTCAATATTTATATTAGATGTCTCTTCCCTTCTTGTGGAGGTTGATAAAATTGTAAAATATTTGGGAAATAAAATTCTGCTGTTAACTTTTTTTTTTTTCCCTTCCTTACAGTAAACATAGCCCTTGCATTAGCAGCACATGATTCGGTAGGTGAACAATTAGTTATCAAACTTAAAATAAACCTAGTTTGTCGTGAGTGTTGTAAATAAAAAGTTACTATTGGGGGCCGCTAGTTAAATGAAATCAAAGTATTTACTCTGAATAAATTCCTTTATTTTTCATAGCATTTTACATTTGATGTTGATTTGTTTATTATGTTGGCACAGTGAATGAGTCAGTAGTCCTGATCCTTCACTTAGGTTTGCTAGCACTCTCCTCTGCCCCTATCAGTGTCTCAGTGAGTTTGCTGGATTCTGCAAGGGCACGTAGGTCCATACTAGTGACTATTGGCACAGGCTTGAGTCTATGTTTTCATTATACCGATTTGGAAAAAAAGTTGTGTAGATGATAGATAATGGTAACAGAGGTTTATTCTTCTACGGGAGAAATTAATATACAAAAATACTTGAAATGAAAGGCTGAAGAAAAAGGAACTAAATGTCTCCCTGAAGCCTTAAAATCAGTTATTTGTAAAGACTAACACAAGATGATTACTGTAACTAGTGGGTGATATCACAAAGCTAAGACTGTAATTTCAGGTCAGAAATGGGCAGCTGGAACCAGTGTACTCTTAAGAATAAGAGGGCTTTATTATGCTCATCAGCCACTGTAAATTGAGAAAAACAACGAGGTGTCCTTGTGGCACCTTAGAGACTAACACATTTATTTGGGCATAAGCTTAAGTGGGCTCTAACCCACAAAAGCTTATGCCCAAATAAATGTGTTAGTCTCTAAGGTACCACAAGGACTCCTTGTTGTTTTTGCTGACAGTCTAATACGGCTACCACTCTGAAACCTGTAAATTTGGAGTAGTTCCGTTGAAGTAAGTCAACTCAGAAGTAGGCCAAGTTCTTTGTGTCTTATGCAAGTCTCCATTATATCTAAGAGCAAAGGAAGATCTATAAAATACTGATTGTATGGAG